ATACTCAAAACCAACTGAGCTGGTTGTAACCCATAAAATAATTGTATAAGACAGCACGTCCTGACCATACACAGACCTACATACACACACACACACATGCACGATGGAGAGGTGGCATCAGATGTGGCCACCTCAAACATTAAATGTATTTTTAAGGCTATGGTGATGGAGTGGTCATTTTGCTGACTGCACAAGATGTCAGAGAGAACACACACACACACACACACACACACACACACACACACACACACGCACAGACTTGAACATCATAGATTTTTCTTTTTATGGTAAGTGGTCATGAGTGGAAATCAAAGCTCAGTGGTGTACAGATAGCTTAAGCACATTTAAAGATTGTTTTCTATGCTCTGCCTGTGAGCTTTGTGTATGCTCATGCATTTGGCTGATTGTAGCATTTTATTGATCGACTCCACACTAATCAATCAGGCCCTAATCGACCCGATTAAAAAGGGTATGATGTGAAAAAATGGTAATATAGTGTGTGTGTCTGAGTGTGTACTGCTGCCATGTTATGCACTTAAATCCTGAACTGCTATTAATCTACCGATCTCAATTTCATGTGCTCTTTTAATTTTAATAAAAGGATAGGAACCAACTCTGCACTTCTTCATCACCCCTCCTATACTCGCACATGCACTTCAGGAGATGCTGAGCAGTGCACATAACAGCATGCACATAGTGTATTGTGTTGTATATCATTTGTAGCTCACTGAAATAACACTCCTTATTGGTAAGCGAACCAAGAAATTCTAGATTTTGATAGCCTCATGAACTTCCTGCCCCCATAAAATCTAATTAAGAATTATTGCTGTTAGCAGGCTTCTTATGTTTAAATGATATCAGCTGTGAGTTAGCTGACTGTGTGTGTCATTTTCTATCCCTGTACGTTGATATTGGATGATAAACAAGCATGTACAGGCAGTGCTTTATTGACATCTCCCTCACTCTTCTGTTAGCTGTGGAGCACCTGTGTGGGTGGGACAAATTAGAACATTATTGTTTATTTATTTCGGTTTTGAATTTAGTCATGTTTCTTTCTTTCTCAGCTTTATCATCCTTTCTTTTTAGCAGGCTACATTAGGAAACGTGAAGTCTTTCCCAGCGTAGCTCCACCCAGTTGCCACCTGACTCGAGGTCTAATCAGCCAGGATGATTGAAAACACCTGTGTGGGTGTGCAGGGCCTAAACACATCACACCGATATTTTAAGATCGTCATCTTCGAATGTCAGTCTCTGTAACTGATGTTAATGTAGCCAAAGTGTATCCCGGGCAATTGGTTCAGTTTTCCAGCTACAGCAACTTGTTTGTCTAACATCAATTCTCATACAATTTTTCCACAGTATTGTGGATGTCAGAAGCAAACAGAGCACTGATCACCCCAGAAAAAAGTGATAATGGGCCCATTTGACCCCCTCGACGACAGCAGCAGCACAAACTCTGGTCTCAACCTACCAGTTAAAAAGAACGGGTTTTTAGAAAACTTGGTAACTTTCAACATTAACCACTTAATTCTTCAAGCAATTGACACTGAGAACTCCTAAACTGGTCCAATGTGACACACATCAGTGCAACTGTGTCTGGGTGGAAGTGTTTGATTGTGGCTTGTTAGGTCAGGCCTTTGATTGATCTCAGCTCTCAGGTCAGGATGTCCAAAGCTCACATACATGTGCTCACACACATGCACAGAGTTACCCCCCCATTAGCCTCCCCTTGTTCTAGGTAACCTATGTAAAACTTGTATTGACCATACAGTATTTATAAAGAATAGAAAGTAATTAAGGGATAGGGAGAGCTGAACTAAATTATTCCATAGTTAAGAACCAAAATGGGCCATGGATATTTTTATAATTTTGCAAAAAATGTCCACTGTAAAAACCACTGTTAGTAGCAAAAGTCCCACACTTGCTGAGTTTGGTTGCTACATGATTGTGGTAGCCAGTAAAATAGAGTGGTTGAGCTTATCTTTGACCCCACTGAGAAAATAACATCTTTTCTTTTATTTGGATGAAGTATCACAGAAAAATGACACAACAAACCAGGTTTCATATGGTTTGTGCCATAATCAGTCTGTGTTTAGTAATGTTCCTAAACCCAAATTAACTCATAATGAAGCCTTATTTCTTGCTCAGGTGCATTTATTTGAGCTTAAGTGTTCGAGCTCACAGATGGATAAAGGCGTTTCTACATGAGGTTGTCAGCGACATGATCAAAGTAAAATGTGTTTTGACAGTAAGCTGAAACTGAAAAACAGAGAGGAAAAAAAAACAGAAGTTTGTTACCATCTTTGTCTTCGAGTCTGTCAAGTTTGATGACAGGATACCTGATAAGAAGATAAGATATGTTACATATAATGTAGAGACACACTGGTAACCATGCGCAATTGTGCAAAATAACGATTAACATATTACTCAAACACAGAACAATACGAGGTATCTACTCATAAGCTTACAATAAAGCACGGGTCTTGAAACTTGAAAGAAATGGTTGTGGTGTTAGAGGAATAGACGCAGTGTTGGCAGCATGTAACTTTTCATTTTGTCGAAAATGGACACATCATCGCACGAGCACTTGACACGGTGACACTCTCAGACAATCTAAAGTCTCAGGTTTGCTTTTTGGTCTTACTCTCTGACATCCCAAAGGTTTTTTACAGTACAGCACATCTGTCAGTCCTCCTCATTATTATCATTATATTGCTCTCTTAGCTTCTGTCTTTCACATTTTCAATGGCCACTTCACTCGTTTTCTCAGTGCTTTCACTCTGTGCAGCCTCACCTTTTTGTCTCCCCCCCCACCCCCCCTCTCTCTCATGCTCAGGCTGCGGTGTCATTTTGTTTGGCAGGTCTTTGAGTCCCCTGTCTGAGAGAACATAGGCGAAGTCCTCCCCTGTCTCATCTTGCTGTCTTTCTTTCCAACGCTGCTTTTTAAGAGACTCGGCAGGGCTATGTTGAATTTGTCTACCCATTTTTCTCCCTGTCATTCTTTCAGATGTTCTTTTTTAAGAATCTCTTCCACCCCTCTGTGTGTGTGCTTATCTGGAAGCTATTAGTCTTGTTCCGACTCTCTCTAACAGACAGATTTACTGAAACTGGATAAGAATGGGAGCTGTTTTTCTTAAATATGTGTAGTTACACAGCTAAACCAAGGCTTTATACTCCCAAGCATGAACGTGACAGAGAAGTGTGTAAATGGAGTAAGGGGACAGAGGAGGTGGAAGGGGGTGAGGCAAGTGTACTGTAGAGAAACGGGAAAGGCGAGGAGAGAACAAAAAACATCAGTTGAAGTTTGTTTTAAAGGGAAAATTGGAGCAAAACAATGAGAAAGATGCGTATTAGACAGATGGAAGTGGGGAGAACATGAATGTGTGAGAGACTGAGAGGCGTCGGTCGTGCTGAATAGTTGGTGAGATGGTGAGAAAGGTGCGATTTTGTATAATTCGATACTGTTCTGCTATCTGCCTGCTGAGGATATGATGGAAATAGAGTGCACATGTATATAGTATCTTTATGTAAACACAAACATATGCAATTTAAAAAAAAAAAAAAAAAAAAAAAGCTCTTCACATGGGTTTAATGGAATCAGAAGCCAAGATGACAACATTAAATTTACTATAATGCCTGCGATCGAAGTCATGTACAGCTACAAAATCCAAGAAACAATTTTGTTTCTAATTATCCATTTAGCTATTAAAGACTGTGTTAAGCTGACTGTTTCAGTATCCCTATGGAGATTTTCTTGTGGTTTTCCTGTCCCCAGTTTTTCAAAACCTCAATGAAGAGGCTTCCAGTGAAAATCTTCTTAAATTATCAGGTTGGCTTTGAAAAATAACACCCTGGCTGGACTTCTCTGTACCAGCACCAGTGTTAGCTTTCAGTCTAAAATGTTGACATTGCTTTTTGTTTTAGAATAGCATTTTCGTAATGTCGGCTTAATTATTTTTGCTTTCTGCCACAGTGCAATGACGTACAGCTATGTGTGTACTAGTGTGAGGACTTCCATATGGTTTGTGCCTGTTTGTAGCATGCAATGTGTATGTATGAGTGAGAGAGTATGTTACCCACTTGTGGGTTCCAGTTTAGCAGGAAGCCTCTGGCTTTACTGGCAAAGTCCCCTTTCTTTACTCTTGACCACTATAGACACGACACACACACGGACACACAGGTCTATTCAGCTTTTGCGTGGAGGCCCCTAGAACACTGTGTTGACAAGCTGTGTGCTATGTTAGGCTAAACGCAGACTCAGTGCAATACTCAATAGACAGGGATTCCACTATATAACACAGTTAGAGCTAGCGGGGTGTCGCACACATGCAAAGGGGAGACACGAATGGAGTCAGTTGTTAATCAGTAGACACACACTCTGTCACAGGAATGCTGGGCTCCTTGGACGTCCTCTATAGCGTCCTCATCCACAAGGTAACGCACAAGTTGTGTGCATGTACATACACAACCATTCACAATTTTTCTGAACAAAATGTTGCAGCCTTTATTTTTGCTTTAATTGAAGAAATGCAACCAGGGGGGTGTTTATATACATTCATCAAGTGTATTCTACCTGTTGATAACTGCAAGTTCTTGTCAAGTTGAAGTAGTTTGAAGTCGAGAAGACACGCCAGTCTGTAGTTGTGCTGCTTAGGATCTAAACCTGGTGTCCTCTGTTAGCGCTCCATGACTTTATATGCATTCATGCTACCTTTAAATGTTGTTTCATTGTATTCATGTATGATACAAGTAAAGGGCAGCAGTTTGCACACCTGCTGTAAAGCAAACTGGAGCAGATTTTCTCTCAGCGTGAGTGGAGAGTGAGTAGAGAGTAGAAAATAGAAAACCTGGAGCGACTGTGAGTGGAGTTATATAAGAATCTTGAGCAGAATTCCTGCTGCTCCACTCTGATCAAATACTGTGTTCATAATGGATGAAAAGAATAAAAGTAATTGTAAAACAACCAGCTACATTGTGTTTTTTTTGTTTGTTTTCTTCAGCTGATGGCGGTGTATGAGGAGCAGGAAGCCCAGCAGAGGGGTGTGGCCAACACAAGCCTGGCCCCGAGCCCTGACCTCTACCAATCTGAGCTCTCTGTCTTCCAGCCAATCGCAGGAGGAGAGATTGAAGTCAATTCCTCAGCACTCAAGTCCAGTAAGTAATTTTCCATTTATTTTGAGAATGCTTACTCCAATCTTGACGTCTTTGTAGACAAGTCCTCCGACAAAAATCAAATCAAAGGAAGTCTTTGTTTGCAGATCCATGTATTGTAGAAGATTTGGAAATTCACAGCTACATTTTAAAAAACTGTGATTTAAATTTTGCCTTATATTTTGTTTTCACAAGATTTGTAAATTCTTTCAAAAGTTATTGAAAGTTACAAATTGTTGAAGCAAGAACATTTTTTCCTCATCTCTACAGTATATTCCCCGAAACAACAGTACTGTGCTCAAAGTTATGAAATACACCCACTGTGCACGTCATTACGTTCACCAGCACACCTGCACACCTGCCTGTTCATGCAGTTATCCAATCAGCCAGTCATGTGGCAGCCGTGCAAGTGAGAAAAAAAAAAAAAGGTCAGGACAGGCGCTTTAGTTAATGCTCACATCAAACATCAGAATCAGGGACAGAACGTGATCTCAGTGGCTTTGACTGTGACATGATTGTTGGTGTCAGACGGGCTGTTTTGGCTGTTTCTGAACTTGATGATCTTGTGGGATTACCACACACAACACTCTCTCAGAGTTTTTACTCAGAATGGTGCGAAAAAGTAAAAGTTCAAAGGAGAATGGCCAGCCTGGTTCATGCTAACAGAAAGGCTACAGTAACTTAGATAACCACTCTTTACATCTATGGTGAGCAGAAAAGCATCTCAGAATGAGCAACATGTTGAACCGTGAGGCAGATGAGCTACAACAGTAGAGGAACACATCGGGTTCCACTCTTCAGCCAAGAACAGAAATCTGAGCCTGCACCAAGGCTCACCAAGACTGGACAGTTTAAGACTGAAAAAACGTAGCCTGGTCTGATGAATCTGGATTTCTGCTGAGGCAGCAGATGGTAGGATCAGAATTTGGCATCAACAATCTGAGTTCATGGACCCAACCTGCCTTGTGTCAACAGTCCAGGCTGCTGGTGGTGGTTTAATGGTGTGGAGAATGTTTTCTTGGCACACTTTGGGCCTCTCAATACCAACCAATCATGGTTTGAATTTGAGTGTTGTTGCTGACCATGTGCATCCTTTTATGGTCTCAATTTACTGTCTTAAATGACTGCTTCTAGCAGGATAATGCACCCTGTCAAAAAGCAAAAGTTGCCACTCACCAGATCTGAATCCAATAGAACACCTTTGGGATGCAGTAGAGCTGGAGATTGTCAGCATGAATGTGTAGCTAACAGATCTGCAGAAATGATGTGATGCAGTCATGTCAACATGATCCAACCAGAATCTCAAAAGAATATTTCCTTGCCAAGAAGAACTGAGGCTGTTTTGAAAGCAAATGGAGGCCCTACCCAGTATTAGTATGATGTTCCTAATAAAGTGTTTGCTGAGTTTATTATCTCTGTGCTCTGTAGAGGAAGATCACTGACCTTAACATCAATTAGGCACTGGTATTTTTCATTGTATCAACATTTTTTATTCAGGTTATACAAAGTATGTCCGAGTTAACTCTGACAACCACAACTGCTCTGTGACTCAAAGTACTTTCTGTACTTCCCCCACTGCTGACTTAGCCAGGGACTTTCTTATGACAAGATTTAGTTTTACATAGTCTAAATGCTGTTTCAAATCACTCTTGTGACTAATCCCTTTGGGAACCCTTTTACTTTTTAGATGTAACCTGTAGGTCAGTGCATAAACGGGTCAATGCCATAAGTGATGTTAAACAAGAAACAGGTTCAGTTAGGCTCAGTTTTGATGAGGAGGTTGACTGCCAGGCCAAGTCTGTGAAGCATAGCAGTCAAGTCACCGTTTTGGAGTGGTGGATAGTTGGCCAAGATGAATATTCTGTAAATTGAAAACATAATAGAAGGAACAATAAAGTACCTGTTTGACATTTTGTAATGGCTTATTAGCCACAGTGTATTCTTAGGTTCAAAGCCATATACTGTATGTCTTTTAGACAATACTGTAAGATGGATTTTAATTTGATACTTACTGAATTATATTACAGACAAAGGTCAGGCTTGTGATGGCCATTTTTTGTGGGACACTGATGAAAATAAGATGAGGACAGCTGAAATGTTGGCAGCACTGTCTCTGAGATGCAGACTGAGATGGGGAGGAAAAAGAATCGTATGAGGAGAAGGAGAAGAAAGAGAAGACAGGAAGCGTATGTGTTCTGTCAGGCTCCAGAGCAAAAACTGATATCTGGTTACTGTTACTTGGACCAGACCTATCAGCATGACCTTTCCTTTTTCTCTGTATCCTTCTCTTTCTGTCTTCCACTCTCTTTCTTTCCCTTTCTTCATCTCTCTCTTCATCTCTTCCTTTCTGTCTTACTTCAAGTCAAGTGCCTGTTCATTACAAGTACTGTGGATGTGAGTGAGAGAGGGCTTAGATTTGTCACAATAACTTGTCCAAATTTAATTTTACTTTACCAAAACAAACCACGTGAGTGATGGATTGTGTATACATGCAATTTGTCAAAACTTAAGCAATATATCCATTTACCTCTTGCTTTAATGCTTCTAATCATAGATCCCACTTCCTTTAGTTATGAATTGTCAACTATATACCTGCTTTGTTGCATCCTTTGTGGCATCCATCTAGTTGGGTGCTTGACATTTAAACATAATCTGTCATGGTTGTTTTCAAAATGTCATTAATATGTCAAATGAAGTGTGGTAAAGCTCATCCATCTATTGTAAGCTGCATTATATCAGCAAGTTTCATTATTTCCCATTCTTGTTGTGTTTAATGATGCTATTGAAATTTCTCTGTCAGCTGGAATGATCTCAAACAAGTTATTGAGCTGAAGGTCTCCCAAGCTGGAACAAAAATCATAAACACAATTTTACATAGTAGATAATTGCAGCAAAACTCTTTTCCCAGTTCCCTTGCATTACATGTAATTTCCCTTTCACTTTCAGTGTATTGCAGCAAAAAGCATGTATCTTGTATCTATACGTAGCTTGACTTCTGACAGTAATAACAGCATTGACATTTCAGTTTGTATGACCTTCCTAAATTGTGAAGGGGTTTTAGCTGTATGATCCAGACACTGTTAAGACAGGAAGTTTAGTCTGTTTTAGTATGGTCGCCTGTCAGCAGAGATTAGTGGTAATGTGTGACTGTCATGGGAGATTAGAAGTAACGGAGCTCTGGAGACTATCACTGTCAATGATGGGAAGGTCAGACTTAGGCCTCTGTCACTGTCTTATGCCTCTTACTCTAACCACCTGTCTCCCCTCTCACTCTCTTCACGCCATCTTATTATGTCTCCAAATCTTTTTTTCTACACTTCTTTCCCCCTTGCTACTCACCTTTTTTTTGTTATTTTTCTTTTCTCTTTGATTTATCCGTCTCTCTTCCCTTGTGTTCTCTGTTTCTCTACTGACCAGTTTTTCTTTACTTGATATGTAGTAAGACATATAACATGATGTTTTACACTTCGGTCTCAATGAAGGACTATGAAAAAAAAAAAAACAGTAGTTTTGATGAGCACCACTGCTCAAAATCAATATACAAAGTGCTGGACGTGTCTTGAAAACTTAGTAAGCATATATATAAGTAGCAGTAGAATACATAGGTTAGGCTTTCCTATTTGAGCCAAAGATAATCAGTGGTCTTTGGGTGATATCAATTTACTATCAGCTATTTAAGAGATGACAACGGGTACTTTCACAAGATATTTGCCCTCAGTAAATTTTTGAGAAAATCTGCTGTAATTTTGATATAATGATCAAATAAGTTGAAGCCTTTATTGTTCAGTTGCCATGCAGCAATTGCAAACAAGTGTTACTGAACCATAATAAGCCTTTAAAATATAGGAACAGACACTGTTTAAGCAAGCGTTGAAATGATCAGTCGATTATATGATAAGCTGATCAACAGAAGAAAAAGTACAACTGCAACAATTTTGATTGATTAATAATCCATTGTAGCCCTATTTTAAGATATTCTTGCAGATTTTCTGTGAATAATAATCCAAGACAGTCTACCTCTCTGTAGTAGTATTACTGCAGTCTGGGCGTGGTGGACAGTGGTGGGGATTGCTGGGTGATTTATAACTGACTTTGAATTTCAGAAGACCAGTGTGGTAAAGATTATTGATCTTGTAATGCCTACAGGCATATAGATAGAATAGTAACACTGTTAGGTACTGGTATTTATCTTAATCTAAACATTGACTATACAGTAGAATATTTTTATTTTCTTTCATTTTTTTCTTCACCATTTTTCCTGTTGATATTTTTCTCTTTGATTTTTTTTTGATTATTTTATCTTCCTTTTCTTTGCATCTAGCCATTGTACATTTTCTTTATATCTCACTAATTATCCTTTCCTCTTAGTCCCGTCATTTTTTTTATCCTTCCTCTGTCTCTCATTTTTTGTATCTTTTGTCCTCCATCCATTTATCCCCCTTTCATTGCCTTTACTTGAAGAGATGAATTGATTAGGTTTGATGTAATCCATATTCCCCAGCCAGTCTTAAGAGCACCAAGGGTCCATTTTATGACAATCAATATATGACCCTACAAATATCATTTGGCGTATGTTCTGAGTAGTCTACTCATTTAGAGTTCCCTCCACCCTCACCACCACCTATCTCATTTTATTCCCTCATTTTACTCCCAGTGGAACTATAGAAGCTAACATGACAATGTTCTTAATGTATATATATAGATTGATGGGCCCTATGAATGGAGATGGTAGATTTGAGTGTACCACACAGATCATAATAAAACCTCCAGTTATAAATGTTATTTATTTGCATAGCTCTCTGTGGTGTTGACTTTTCTCTCCATTTCACTATTTCACCAAAGCTCCAGCAGCAGCGTAGGCAGTAGTGCGGTGTGCTTCATCCATCAGCTTCTGTTAGATAATGATTTTATGCAGTGGTCTGATGAGATGTGAAGAGGAGGGAGACACTATCATATATTACCTACATGTGCACAGAGATCTGCAAATCAACCACTTTTTGGACATTTGGATGCATGAACACCAGTGCTTTACCTGAAGGGACATGAAGGGAAGGGATCATTCATTCATTTCTCACATACTCTGGCTTTCAGATCTGCTCCTTAAAGACATAATGATGAACACATTGCATTGATGCACACTCACATATCCCAAAACAACATTCAGGAATGAAAGCTTTATGATGATGCTGCCACAGCGCCGACTGTGCTGATGAATTTGGTTGATTAAAAGAAGTAATTATGAGACCTTCAGGTATTTCACATGGTTAATATTTTAGTTTTGTCCTCTACATAATGTTCACAGACCACCAGTCATCACACTGTATTACTCTTTTTTTTCTGACTTGGTAAATGTTTGTTTTAATTGGCATTTTGATGCAACTTTTTAAAAATGCAGTTTCCACTTTTGAAAAAAAAAATCTTTGAAATCTTATTAAATTTGTCTCAATTAAGATACAGTTGTCTATTTAAAACCTGCAGACGCCCCAATTAATACTCATCCAGACACATTTACATTTATGTTTACATGCACTAATTCTGTAGTGTCCATCCTGCCTTTTTCTAATTTTATGGTAATCATTATGGTCCCTTAAAACAGCCTATTAGTTTATTACGCTGAATGTTAGGATGGTCTTGTCTTTCTTTGAAGGCACACTTTGACATGCCTTGGACTGATGTCACAGGTACATTACGATGACAGGGTGGAAATTCATTTTGTCAACCAAACAACGAAAAAATACTCATCTCTCCTCTCTCCTTCTTCCTCATCACGCTTTGACACTCGCAAAGAAACACACACAAAGTCCTGTCTGTAGTGTGGCATGACTAGCTCAGGGTCTGTATCTTGTCATCTAAAAGATTATTATTAGACATGAATTTTGCTGAACTGTGACTCCATCAAAATAGCATTAGCAATTTTTAAGAGAGTTACGTGTGTGTGTGTGTGTGTGTGTGTGTGTGTGTGTGTGTGTGTGTGTGTGTGTGTGTGTGTGTGTATGTGTGTGTTTGGAAGCAGTGCAGATGCAGCCCTTCTCTCCACTCACCATTTTTGCATTATTCTTTGTCTGTCTTGTTTTTTTTTTCTCCCCTCTAAGTAACAGACTGATAGGAGGTAGTCACACTGAGTCCTGTTGACAAAGACACGGGTTCCTCTGGTTTTTACCAGGGGAAAAGAGCACATCTTGAAAACATACAGCAGAATTGAAAAAAACAGCAGAATGAATGTGGATAACAACAGAAAAAACATGAAAATAAGATAAAAATTAAAAAAAGTTTATTCAAATTGGGGGTCTTTAATGTTGTAGGTGAAGTCATTTTTCTGTTTCTGTTTGATAGTATGTCACCAAATTCCTCCTGCAGATACCTGCTATAAACAAAGAAATGGGGAAAAGTGGTTGATTTAGAGTCTGTAGAACATCTACTTTAAACATTTTCCGTAGTTATCCAGTCCATACAGACGTACTGTATAAACACACACATCTTCGCTTCTGCTTAATGCAATCTTTCTCAACCTGTCCTAGCTGTAAAACTAAGTTTATAGTCTAATGCTGAAGTGAAATGCTCATATGCAGTAGGCTAGACAAGGAGAATTCTGACTGGTCTCACATTTGTATCATGTTGTAGATTTGAATTTGTGTCTCTGCTAGTGAAGAATATCTGAAGAGTATCACCTTGCAACTGCTCTTTAGGTATTCACCCAAATCTTAATCTTCTTAAGAGTAGGCCGTAACGGAAAAGAATGCTGAAAGCTACCTTCACATCTCATTTGTGTTTGTGTGTGTCCTTGTGTTTTCTACAGACACCCCCCTACTGGTGAGAAGTAGCAGTGACTCAGCCCTCGGCCCCCAGCTTTCTGAGACTGAAGCCTCCCTCAATGAAGACACCACTGAGATGGTAAGAAACTAAGGCAAATTAATAAAAAAAGACACATACAGTTTGAAACGCACATTGCTCGAGTCCTGTGTCACTGAGGCAACAAATTATTTTGTGAGAGTGTAAAGGAGACACACAAATACCCATAACCAAATGATAAGGTATATTATATCCAGTGGTTATAATAGTGAAACACTTGTAAAAGTGTGAGAGCCTGCAGTGTTTGTCTGTCCTCACAATACAAACGTGCTTGATGGATTGAGCAACATACTGATGATTATGCTTGAAGAAAGATCAGAAGGATCATCAAAAACATTAAAGTGTGTAGTCCTGGGCTATGAATATGTGCAGCAAATTTTATAGCTGTCTGACAGATCCTAAAATTCTCTGCGATGGACGACATTGTGGCTAAAAGTTAGAGGAGAACAGTGTTGGATAGACTAATTGTTCTGACTGACATTATTATCCTTACGCTCTACCTCTAAGGGGAAAAGGTTTTTCATTATTCAATATACAATTTTGTGTATTCTCTTTTCTCATTAAATAGATGTAATTTGTAAAGCTTGTAATATGAGAAGTCGACATTGCAGAACTTTTGCTGTAGGGATTCCCTGATTGATCATGATCGGCTGATTTTCGGCGAAAATATGTGATCGGTAGATTGGCATTAATGCTTCTAGTCACAGATCACCTTAAAACAGATCGCCTCTGGTTAATACTCTGGTTTCTGCGTCTCAGAGAAGCAGTGTGTGCTGTGTAGTGTAGTACTACTTCCTGCCTTGTTCACTGCGCCGGTGCACAACAGGCCACCAAAACAAAACAACATGTCGTGTGGAACTTTTACAAAGTGTGTAAGACTGGTATAACGTACGGCATCTGCAATGTCTGCCAAAAATGATCGGTATTGGCCGTGGATCAGCCGATATCACCGATCATTGGTATTAGTATCGGCAACAAAAAAGTGTGATCGGAGCTTCCCAATTTTCAGTGATAGTCATGCACAAGACATCAGTTTTAGTTTTAATACTGTGTCCTGTGGATATTTTTATGCTCGTTTGTGACTAAATAGCAAAAGAATGGCGTGAGAATGGCTATGTCTCATATTCTTAATGATTTTTGTGACCCACTAGGGTTTTGTCGAGCACCTGTGTGGTGTCAAGATTTTATCTTGAACAGAAGAAAGATTTAATTGAAACATAAAAGGTAAATTGGTTGAATTAGTAAGGCCCCACATATTGCATTCTTGCAATTCTTTTTTAACATATTGATTTAGTATGTTGAATCCTCATGGACACGATGAGTTTTCCTCTAGTGCTGGTATAATCTAATTGGCAGATTTTCATTAAATATGCTAAGCAAATTAAGACTCCCAAGGGGATAAACACTTTGATTTTAATGACTCCATGGCCTCTCTTCTGGCAGCATTCCCAAGACAAACTTGATATTTTTTGCATCACTGCTGGTAAAAGCAGCAAATTGTTGATATACTGTAGTTTTGTAAACTTATTACTTGACTTCCTACTCATGTATTTGTTGCTGGAGGGATCAAATTTTGCCCCATGGATCCTTGTTTTTTTCAGTTGCAAACATAGTTAAAAATGCTTACAAAAGTTCAACCACTGAAATGTGGTGTGCCAAATCTGCTTAAAATATGTCTGAGATTCTTGTTTGTATTTGGCCTTTTAATTTACGAAAGCCTCACACACATATACTGCATACTGTACATTGACACACACATACTGTACAGTGCTGTCATTGTGGAGGATTTTTCAATTGAGATAAGCATGTAGAATAATTTCACAGAAATCCAAATAACAGTGCTTTAATTTTTTTATTTATTTAACACTCTGAATCTTTTAGTATGTATAATATATATAGTGCCTAAAATATGTGCGTATATATATATATATGTGCATACACCAATTTCATCTCTAACAAATACTTTTAAATGGAGACAAATATCAGCATATGTACTAATAAAAATAAGGTTTTTTTTGCCTTAAGGTCGACAGTGTGTTTTGGGTGTGTGGTGGTTACATGTGTTTCAGGGTTGTGGGGCTGAGTTGTGCTTACGTGTCATATTCCTTCTAATTCAGTCACACTTTGTCACATCAGACTCCACTAATAAAGACAAATGACTCTTTCTGTCTTTTCATCCTGTCCCTGCCTTTCTCAAAAGGGCAGAGGGCAAACACTTGTTCCTTTCTCCTATTTCCTCCTCTGCTTCCTCTCCTCCCCCTCTTCCTCTCCTCTATCCTTACCACTGCTGACTTCACTTTTTCATCTTTTCTTTCTTTCATATTGTATTTTGGAAAATTAAAAATTTGGGTCCGTGCCTTAAATAAAGCAGACATAACATTAGCTACTATTCAGCTTGTACTACAAAACACACAAGGAAAGGTTTCTTTTCTTTATTCTAGCTCATGCTTTTTTCTTTTGTATGAAAACTGCAATTGTGCACAGCTTCTTATTCTTCTCTGCTCCTTTTGTAAAACAGTTCACCCTCTAAGCATCAGCTTTGCCACTTTGACCTCAGAGCCTCATGTTTAACCTGCTGATCCGCGCTGTCTTTTCTCTCTCCTCTGAAGCTAATACATGTTTTTTGCTGCATCTCCTATTTCCTCTTGAACTGTGGAACTAATGGCTTTACTCCGTATATATGCATGTTTCTGTCCTTTGCTTTAACATCCCTCTATCCATCTCTTCGGTTTTCCTCCTGTGTTCTGTGTAAATAGAAAAACCCAAAGGTGCAGTGCATTTACATTGTCAATAAAAACAACAGCTGTGTCCATCCAGCGTGATTTAAAATTACATTTAAACTGGATGATAGTGAGTTTTGAGCATCCAAGTGTAGTTATAGTAAAAGAATTAAAACATCTCATGCACATAGACACGCATTAACTTCAGAGAACGGGGGAATAAATATTAGAATGCAGTGTGCCAGTTGCATAGAGATGTAGTTTCAGTGACTTGTTATGGTAGTGTTACAGTTTGATATTCCCTGTAGACGGCTGGACGCCGCAAATCCCTCAAGTTCACTGGTTAAAGGAACTCCACGCCTGATTGGACTCTTGAGTGGTGAGGGCTGTTCCCTTGAGATTCCTCACTGGACAAACATCCTTTTTTTTACCCTCACTGTTTTCCCTGTAGAACAACCTGTTTGCAAGGTTCAGTTCTTTTGGGGAATGTGATTGGTTCTCAGAGGTGGCCAATATCCCTGTTTAATGTTGCTCAGGGTGACCTAACATGTTTTTGACTATACACCATACAAAATGTAACAACAAAATGCTGTATTTGTTGTCTTGTTAACAATAAGTTCATCGTTTTAGCCAATCATAGTAACCAGGCAGGCCACTTTTTATGATGATCCACCAGAAACAGACCTGCAATCTGTTTTGAAATGCAGACTACAGCTACATGAAATATGGTTTAGCAGAAATTAAACCTGGGTGGACATGTCACTAATAAATGTACACTGCCAACACTAATCTATTTACTTTTCCTGGTAAAATGTAAGTAGAAGCTGAGGAATGTAGATCATGTTGTTCTGAGCTCATTGTCCGCTCCTTACATCCTAGCTCTGTTTTCATGGCGCGCTATCATTCATGAGGCTGGCAATGTGAAATATTACTGGGTGTAAGTTACACAGTAGGCTTATCAAGACTGTGTGCGTCTGAGTGTTTATCTTTTGGCGGCTCTTAACCATAGCGTGTACATTTGTATGTGGTTTCAGCTACACCAGCTGTGCCTCTGTTTCTCTCTCAGTTCATTCTAGCTTCTTATGTTTCTCTACTCACACACAACAATACAACTTTGAACAGAACAATAGTTTTCTTACTACATCAGCCTAGATTTTGACTTGAATTAAAACTACTGTCAAATGTTTTTTGCTGCTTAATAATCCACATAATGTTGTGTTAAATGGCTGAAACTCACACCATTATAGCTTAGACTTACTCTATTTGTCAGTTTGGAATTTTCACCATTGAACAGTTGCAAACTATCTTGACAAACCTAACCTTTGAGGGAACAGACGAGATCCAAAATGTAGGAAGCAACCTTATTAGCTATGTCACACCACCCAAGTGTATGTAACTTGCTGTAGTTTAAAATGCTCCACGATGTTGATGTAGGTTTGAAGTAAGTTGTGACATGTTGGGTTTCTTGGATAAGCTGTGTTAGCATGTCGTGCAGTTAGTGACCACATTAGCTAAATGGTAGTTAGGGAGCTAGCTGAGGTAAAGTAAGCATTAACCACTATGGCTGTGCAACAATCCTCAAGAGATGTGCAGACCGAGGCGTACATAAATCAAACATACCGTTTTTTTCTATGTCTATGTTTTTTCTATGTCTATGCTCTTATGATTGCAATTATTGACATTACTACATACATTACTAAACAAAAAATTAAGTGATGTTAGCTCGCATCACATAGTGAAATTTAGTAACTTATTTTATAATTTTGTTAGCCACTGTCTTGTGGCCATTTGAATTGCTGCATTCCATCTTAAACCAAGGGCTCAGTAGCTTTAACATCCAGCTGCGATGATTCACCATCAGCTATTTTTATTGGAAATTTTTACTGTGCTGTTTTCCCCATCTCTCTCATTATATTAGAGATTTTATAGTAGAGTCAAATCTTTGTTCTCAGTGAGACTTTGTTTTGATTGGCCTATTGTGATGCTTGAACCTTATAAAGAAATAGCTGAAAGCGAGCATCAGACAGGACATTAATTTTGCCTTACTTGAATTTTCTACTGAATACCTTTTTATAAGTTCATAGACATCAAGGCTGACAGCAATCAGGTTCTTCATGCTAGTGAGTCATTTTGCTTGGACTAATTTCATAAATATAGGTTTGCCATCAAAGTAAGAGTTAACAAAAAATGTATTAAGGCTTAAGAAAAAAGCTAACAAATGCTAATAAATACAGCCCAATCCACAGACTTTTGAAAAGGGAGCATCAAGTATTTTGTCACAAACCTATTTACTTGAGTAAGTCTAATACAGACTGTAGGCTT